AACAAACAAGTCCAATTTATTAGTTGTCATATAAAAATTGTCGCGTAACCTATCTACCCTTAATAGCTACGGTTACAGTTATAATAAAAATATAACAAATACGTGTCGCCTATGGTCAAAAAAAGATTTTAACAAAAATCAAGATTTTTACATGATTGTGCGTACTGCCGGAATTGTATGTTTTTTTTATGAATTATAGTTGTTAAGCAAAATCTAGAGGTTTCGTGCCGGTGAAGTCGAAACCCTAATTTCGATTTTTGTTAAAAAAAAAATGAAATGGAAATGTGGTGAAACTGGCAAAATGTGACGAAACTAGGAATTGACAAAATCAATAAAATTAAAGGTTGTAAAAACTAGTAAATCTTAAGATAATTTAAATTAACCTTTTATCTTAATATATTTTTCAATCCAAAAAAAAATTACCTTTATTAAAATTGAAAGTCGCATTTTTAACCTGAGTATTTGCTAGAATGATAAGTAAAAAAAAACAAGTTCACCTTAATTAAAATTAAAAGTCACATGTTAAAACTGTCACGAAGTTTCGCATATCTTTATTGGAGTTCCATTGAGGTTTCACTTTTTGCCAGAATTCAACGTTTCGTCAAAGTTTCAATGTCATTTGACATTTTTGAAAATAGACTCGTTTACTATCTATGGCGGCGGCGTAGAATATTATGCTTCGCTTCATATATTACATATAAGTTTTTTGAGAAAGAAATTTATCTTCAAATATATTATCGAATTATTTTTATCGAAAAAATTTTTTCTCTTTATTAGTAATAAAGCTTTCATTAAAAGGATCATTTTCTTCGAAAAATTTTCTTTTTTGAAAAGCTATTAACCGATGGTGTAGATTCCTCGTCAGAACTAATATCATTCGAAGGTATCATCATCTTATTGATGCATAATCTATAATTTTAAAAACTTTTTTTTTAAAAAAAAATCACTGTTACGATCTGTTTAAAGACATCACAGACTCGACCTATCAAAATTATTCAGAATTGTTCCCGTTAAAAAGCCCGAAGTTTTGTTTTCTTTAACGTCACATTTGCATAAATTTTATATGTGTTTGTATACTACAGTACTATACACAATATATTACTTTATACGCAGTTGTATTAAATAAACAATCATATACAGTAGCATTTATAGTTTTGGTATTATCATGGCTGAGATGTCTACAAGAAGCCTCATTTTGATATTGAGTACGATAAAACATTAGCTATAACTTTTATTCTTTAAGAATACGGTTGAAATTAAACCAGAGTGGTGAAATAGGTGCTAAACAGGTGAAATTTGGCGAAATTTATTTCACCAGCACTAAAAACACGAATTTATCGAATTGGAAAATATTAGTTATCAGAAGTTTATGAAAAAGCTATACGTAATTGTAACTTAATCAACTTAATCATAATAAAGCTCTACATAGCCCCAACGAAGCAATAAGTTTTTATTATACCGAAAATTTTTACTATACGATAATAAAATTGGATAATTATTTTTGTATATATTCTAGAAACTACTAGCATTTGTTCAATATTATTTCCTTAAATAATTATTCGCATAGTAGCGCAATATTTAATATATTTGATGTGATTGATTTGCACCGTACATGAGTGCATGTGAGTGAAAACCTGTAACCAAACACAGTAAATCATTAAATAAAGTTCCTTCACGCAATGTTATCGTACGTACGTACGTACGTTGAGCGGTTTTGTGGAATGTAAACCTTAACTTTAATCTAATAAGGTAAGCGGAGTGGCTTATGAAAATCGGGTGCAAGCACACAAACTTCGCCATATCCCAATATCTTATAAAATCATCACGTCTCCAGCGAATTTCCTTTTGTATTTTCATCCCAACTAACTTATCATATTTACAACCGTAAAAGTGTAAAATTGCAACGATGCCTCTTTATAGGTTCAATATTTCAAAAATAATTGCTATAAAAATTGGTACCTTTTCTTTCCAAAAAAATCAACACTGAAACAAAATTTTTACCATTTTCATCGTAGCCTTAACAATGAAGATGGAGAGTATGCGGTGGCCCACTCTTCTAAGGAATCACCTCATTTAAAATCAGTACAAGAGAAAACCGAGGCTTCATACCCAATGTCAGAAGCTCGAATGCTTGTTCCTTCATTAGAAGGAGCTTTTTTGAAGTTTCTTGTACAGATAAGTAAAGCTACAAGGGTACTGGAGATTGGAACTTTTACAGGTTATTCAGCGTTGTGGATGGCTGAATGTCTACAAGGACGAGGATCAGAAGCCAAAATAGTCACGTTGGAAAAGAACGAAAAGTCTTTTAAGATGGCAAAAGAGAACATTGAGTCTTCTGAACTTGGACACCTGATTGAGATGAAGCTTGGCGATGCAAGAGAGACGTAAGCGATAATTTATTTAAATATGAGTGACATCAAGTGGTTTCAAGTTTATTATGTTTAGAGTATATATATGGGATAGGTGCTGCAAAAAGGGGAAATTGACAAATTTTTTAATATTAATTTTTTTACATAAACTAATTTAAAAAAGATCAGGATTATTTTTCACTTAAGACATAAAAATAGTTATATTGACAATTTTTTATGATTTATTATAAAAGTTATAACATAAAAATTGATTTTCCGATGATTTTTTTTTGTTGATTTCCTCATTTTTTGCAGCACTCAGCCCATACATATATTATATATATTAGAAGTATAACTTTTGCTATATATTCACCTATTTATTATTTATTATTTATTTAGACTCAGCCTGAGGCACAGTGCTGAGCCCGATAAATAATAATTATATCCTGAGTAGTTGCAGGGTTATTGATGGTAACTTACCGTGGTAAGTTACCATTAAGAACTTGTAATTTTACAGCCCTGGTGGGTATGAAATTTCCGCTAATACACATAGTGCTCAGGGTATACCCTGTGATCTTGATATAATAACCAGGGTATAATAAACAGTAAACCTTAAAAGCCTAACGTGGAATGTCCAGCTATTTCTAGCGACTAAAATAGCACCAGTGATATCGATATTACGAATTTAGTTTGGTTGTTTTCGTGATATCACTAGTTCTATTTTAAGTGCTAGAATAGGTGAACACTCTGGCACGAAGTCTGGTTTTTCCTTTGCACCACTCATATATTAATCACTGAATATTAATCACTATGAGTAAATGCGTTAACTAAGATTTTTAAAATCTTTAGACTTTTAAATTTTAATAATTCGGTAAAATTCGACCTAGTATTTATTGGTAGGATAAAGTTTTTTTAAATAAGTAAAATAATTATATTAATAGTAAAATTGTATCTAACTCTCTTATTGGAAATTAGATGCTGACAAAGCCAATTATATCAATTATTATAATACTGTTCTCGAGCGAAATCTTCTTTCGGATAATGGATTTATCGTTGCTGATAATGGTTTGATTAATTTTTTCCATTCGTGCATATATACATGTTGTAAATGGGTGCTAAATTTGGAATTCGGGTTCAGTTAGCATGCGTTTTTGATCATGATAGAATTATATAAAATAAATTCTATTACTAAACTCTGAATTTAATTAAGAAATCCAAAACCCATTTGCAGCATCATACGGGTGCCACCAAGGGAAAGCCTAGCATCAGGGGTTTCATTTCTGCACCCATATAAAAATAAATTCTGATTATAAATCTTTTTTTAACAGCTTTGTTCGGAGGATATGTATCACAAGTGGCTAAAGGAAAAGACCTCTCTCATGCTCCCGATCGTGATGTAAAATGTGCCAAACTAATGCATGCATTTAACGAATATGTCATTAATGACCAGCGAACTACAAAGATTCTTTTGCCGTGCTTTGATGGAGTCATGCTTATTCAAAAAAAGGAATAACATGTAGAAATAACCACAAAATCAGTTACAAAACTACAGGTGACCCTTGTTAATATCAACATATTTGAATTGGTTTTAATTCATGTTTATAGTGATATTAATGAGAAATCATATTGAATTTGATATATATGAAGGAATTTTTATATTATAAAATTTATAAAAATTTGTCTTGTGGCTTAAGTGAATATTAACAAGGTTGATATTAACGGATTATTGTGATGTCGATTTAATATTAATAAAGTTCAAACAATAACACAAATTTTAAACGTAAAAAAAAAAAAAAAAAAAAAAAGTAAAATACATAAAACTATCATGCTTGCAGTTACCACTTTCAGGTAGTTTTTAATGTCCAGAGCCATTTTTAATATCTCTTTGACCAACTCCTATTGTATAATTAATAAATTTATATAAAAAATATATTTTTAGTTTCTAAATGTATTCATTTTAGTCAAAATATCTAAAAAAAACTTGTGTCCAAAGATAATATTACCTGTAGGCAGTGTTGCGATTAGGGTTGGGGGCACGGGAAAAAATTTGGGCATACCCGGAGGGCATGCCTCTGGCTGAGGCATGCCACTCTTATTGTGCCCGGGGCATGCCCCTCTATATATAACCAGATGTTACTCTACTGAATCTAACTACTCCAAGAACACCTTCAAAAATTCTGTAATATGAAATTTTTTTTCTAAATCATATATAATCTCCGTATTCTAATTAAAATAATTTTGAATATATCGCGCCTTCTATATTCTTTTTATTGGATTTATATTATATCTAATCTTGGAATCTGATTGTCTGTCGTGCAGGCTTTTTTGAAATGTTCTTGGGATAGTTACTAGGTCTTGTAGCCAATCAGAGTTTACTTCAATTTTACGTGATCGAAATTTATAATCATATGATACAGGCATGTCATTTGGCTCAAGGGCATGCCTTGGACATGCCTAGGGGGCATGCCCTCGAGGCATGCCCTGGGACACCGTGCCCCCAAACCTAGTCCGTTGACCGTTTCCTTTTTACAGTAAGAGTCTTTATTACCGGCACAAACAATTTATTTACGCGTATTTGTTAAGACTAAACTCTTAAATTTTGCACGATCGTTTAAATACTGTATTGACATTTTTTATATGCAAAATACTTTTTTTTTATAATTAGTATTTTCTCGTGTACATGCCTGAGTACTTCATCCGAAAATGCGTTGGCAAACAGAAAAGTGCGTTTTTTATTTTGCAAAGAAAGGGTAACTCATATGGACTTTCATGGGAAGGCTTCAGAGAATAACTGTTGGTTTATTAGGAGAATTACTGTTTTCTGGATACTGGTAACGACTCCAGGCGTTCTAGATTCAGGCATCCTAACTTTGTTATTAGGGATTTTAACGGTCTGGTATGGTTTAGTCTATGACCAGCCTATATAACATCTATTTAATAAGAATATATTGATTTTTATTATTCGCGAAGGAAGAATAACTACTAGTAAACTTTCAGGAGAATCAACGGGAAAGTTCCTTATGAGGGTTTACTATGAAAATTACTGCGTTTGAATACTGGTAACCGCTCCAGGTGTTTTGGATTTAGGTACCCTGACTTGGTGTTAAAAAGGAACTACTAATTCAGTGAAAGAATCAGTTATGCATCTATCCTTATTCTAAGTAAAAACCGCACTAAGCATCTGTAAAATGGGACTAAAATATAGTATAACTGTTTTCTATGGTAAAACTAAGAGCATTTCTTATATCAGGAACGGAATGATAAAATTATAAAGTGTACAGTCTACCGAAGTAATGTCACACGTGTGATCGTAACTACCAGTTGGAATAAACCTTAAATTTATGTTACTAAATAAGGATTTATAGGATATGTATATGTGTGGGTTCAGTGTATATCGATAGAATTAATAATGTAAACGTTACTGATATTAGTTTTATTATTTCTTTAAGACCAGATTACAGTAAATCATTTCGGCTATTCGTATATAATAATGTAGATGAAGTTGCTCATTTAGGTGATAAATTGGCAAACACGCGTTTAATATAGATATGTCGATCAGAAGAAATTACACTGGGGCCCGGTCGAGCTTTTTTAGGATCGACTTCGATCCACGCATTTCTTTATCACTACTCTGGTAACCAGATATATGTTTGCATTTAGTGAGGATATGCATTTTTCTTTAAGAGCTAGATATAAGTTTGTGCTTAGAGGTGTAATTTTATAAAATCAATTTTAAAAAATTATTTTTATTTATTAGAATTTATATGTGCAGTTATAGAAATACATAGAAGAGATAATTTATATATCACACATGCGATATTATCATGCACCTATACATTTTTTTGTTTACATTTCGCATTATTTTTTCCTTTATTATGCAAATTTAATTTTTTTCTTTCTCAGTTGCCCTTGGAGTCGTTGTCGTTTTACTGGGCTTCACAAGTCGTTTACTGTTATTTATCACGTCATTTACTGGTGCTTCCTCTGAGTATGCTTCGGTGTAGCCCTTTGCTGGTATCACCGTCGTCTAATAGTGCCTTCATATGTTTGGTGCTGTCATTTGCTGGTAAATCCTCCGCCGGTTTCCTCGTTATTTACAGGTACATTTTTTGTTTTCAGGCTATTTTTGCAGTAGGATGATGTCCAGCATTGTATGTTTAATCAGTCACTAGATTTTTGAACATAAATGAATGCCTTATGTTCATCTTGTAAATAGGAAGAGAAGAGATTAGACTGTTGGAAGAGGAGAGATTAGACTGTTAGAATGTAATAATATAAATTATATGTATAAATATAATATAGTTTTGCGTATCAATCAAGTTTAAATAAGCACAATTGAATAAAATTATGTACAATACTTTACAAAAATTTTATTAGGAAAGTTATATTTATAACACCATGTTATATAACACTCTATTATTAAACTATATATTTACTCTACCCTAAAACTCTAACCCTAACTCAGACCAATACATATTTTAGTATAGGTGATATATAACACCGGTATTATGAATATTATTTTTCATGTTATTAATATTGTAGCTAAAGATAAAAATGGCGGTGGTTAAAAATTTTAAATATTTTAATAAAAAATTCTATTTTACACTATGTGTATATACATGGTAATCAAAAACCAATTAGATTGCACAATCATGTGTAATGTAAAATTATTATTTTTTATTTATAACACAAAAATTTGTTATAGAACCACCTTTTGGGTACTAATAAAAAAATTTCTTGTAGGATTTTGGTATAAATTAATCTCTATCTTATTCTAAATATGCCCTTACTCTAATTTTAGAATACACTTAATTTTATTTTATGCAAATTTGTTTAGATTTATTGCTAGATAAATTAGAGTATCAGAAAATAATTGCTAGTAATATTAATATAACAAACTATTTACACATATATATATATAGTATTTTATTA